TGAGCAAGATTTTTCTTATGGAAAAATATTGAGACAGAATCGCCACAATTCCTCCTTTTCTTTATTTTTTGTGCTCATGATTCTAGGTAGAGTCCTTTCTCCTCCCGAGTAGTCCCACAAGGTGACAACAAACCCTTCAGTTTGTTGGTGCCTTGCAGATTCAACTCATACGAGGAAAAGTCCTCATCCCCCAAATCATGACTTGGCAGAGTTAACAAAACTTCTTTTGGAGAAAAGGAGTTATTAGTGTCTATTTCTTCTTCTGACTCTTGGTCAGAGTACCATTCCTGCAAAGGTTTTTTGACAAGGTCTTTTGATTCAATTACAGATGTGAGAAAGCTAACTTCATTGTCAAGTGTTTTCAAACTATCAGTTTTAGATGAATCATTAAGTGTAATTGCTAACAATGTGTAAGAAGAATTGACCTGAATATTGTGTTTTTGTAGAAAGGTTGATTTCAAATTAGGATTGGGACCAACATCATAATGAGACATTGATATAGAAAGACGAATTGTAAAAATATTCCCTTCATCTCCTTGACCATCCCACTGACGTCCTCCCCAAGTGAACCCAACCATCCATTGTTTTCTTGCAAGTGTCTTTCCTTTTGCAGTAAAGGTGATTCTGAGTGGATTTATTCTCTGTCCACAACAAGGCCATTGAGAGCAGGGAAGATGTGCTTGAGCACGAGTAATATGAATATAGTTAGTGGTGGTGTTTAAAATTTTTCCTTGAAAATCAAGGATAGTTCAGGTGTAAGTTTGAGGTTGATGTTCATTTGTAGAAGATGATTGCATGCTTCGAGGAATGCGATGATAGCCAAATCTTGGAACAGCATGAGATGCAGACTGCTTAGAGATGGAGTTGTCAGCGATGAAGGCAGGATACCCAAGATAGCGAGCTCGAATGAGAGCTGTAGTTTTGCGATGGATGTCATCAGGGATGAGGTAGCGTCTTTGCACGACAGGTGGTTTGTAGTGATCAGGAACCCAGGAAGATGAATGATGCAAT